AATTTGTCTGTTTTATGGTTCAAAGTTAAGTGAGACCAGATTTTCATGTTACGTGCATGAGCTAAAATCTGAAGATCAGTAAAGAAGCAGTGCCAGTTCAGGCTGATATATGTAGCTGAGACATACCAAAATAGTTAAAGAAAAAAAGAAGCACTAATAACTAATAAAAAGTCATTGCTTCTTGAGACATTCACTCCTTACTCCACATGGTAAGTAGTACACAAAGAAATGCTAAAGGACATGGTGGTTGGCATTCTTGTGTAGCACAGGTCAGAGAACATCTCTGAGTGACAGCTACAGACTAAACACCTTGTGGTATCCAAGAATATCGTTTCTGTGGGTACTCGGGCTCTTCTGGCTGGAAGCTACTGGGCTGATTTTGTGAATTTTATCTCAATAAAGTAACAGCATTCTTACCTGTTTGGCAGTATTGTGCACACATGCAGTGCTGTATAAATACCAAATACCACTATTTAAAGTATAATTGATAATGACTAATATTATTAATGATAAGAACTTATTCCAGAAATAAGAACAATAATGACCTTTCTCAAGATGACTTCAGCTCATTGTAATCTCCGAACATTATCTCAATATGTGATGTGAATGCATGAATCATCTGAAAGGTCTGCATTCTGCAGTTACATGTTTTTACCTTGATGTAACGTGTTATGGCATTCACATCACCAGCAAGTGACTTATTTCATGCTACATGATCATGGTGCATATAGACACAAACATAAACATGGGCAGAAAATTAATGTTATTACTGAAATTATTTCCTTGTCACATTACACATAGGCTTCATTCCTCAGAAGGAGTTAGCGAGTTTATGTATTGTTTCAAAACCCAGGAGATCAGGAGGATATTAAGACCCAATTCATAACTGGTAGAAACATCAAAGTCCCCATTTCCTGTGGTTCTTTCCCTTGGCTTTGTATCTGGGATCTGATCACCACTGATTTTCAGATAAGCAAAGTCAGCAGAGCCCCAGCAGCCTGGCCTCAGCGGCACCCGATGGGGCTGAAGCACAAAAAGGATTGCACAACATTTTCTAATGATTTATATTTTGGGGAGGAGGAACATCACCTCTAGGAATTCAGATTTATTGGATACTCTAATCCAGAAGAGATAAAAGCGCTTACTAATTACTGCTGGGTTTTGTTTCTTTGAAGAACTGGGTTAAATCTCTTTTGAAAGTAGAAGTCTGTTTGTGCTTGTTAGATGTATAATTTAATTTGTTTAGGTCTTTTTCCTCTTTTAGTGTGTTGTTCTAATGAAATCTGTGCTTTTCCTCCTCTCCTTCTCTTTTTCTTTTCTCCCTAAAGATAAAAACTTTTGATTCACTTTAGGTTTCTTTTCCTCATTTAACAGTAAACATTCATGAGTTGATGCATATTCTTTGAAGCCTTTTTTTTTTTTCCCTTGAAAATTTATTTCATACCAAAAAAAGAAAAGCAAAACAAGGTATTCCTTGCTAGTTTAATGATTCTGAGATTTATTTGCTCATGGATGTTTCCTGACCGAAATCTATTTTCATGCTATACTGGAGAGAGAACTCAGAACATCTCCTTTAGCCAAATAAAAATAATAATAAAAAAGACCTACTGAAATTCCCATAGTGTTACACTTATCTACCGGATACTACCATGCAACATTGCAGAAACCGGGAAAGTTTTATGCTGAAAGGGATCATTTAATTCATCCTTCTCCCAAAGGGAGCACCCCTGTCATACCGGACAGGTATTTTTATTACCTGTTCTTAGAAACGTCCGGTGACAGTAAGTTCACCAGCTCCCCTGGCAATTTATTTGAATGTTCAGCTGTCCACGCTGCTAGAAAGTTTTCCTAATGTTTAACCTAGATTTTCTGTGAGGCAAACCAAGCCCATGACATCTTGCCCTGTCCACATGCACTTGGTTTTATTAAATCTCCCCAGCTGCAAGAAGTGGTCCAGATGGAGCCCCAGGAGTGCTTGGCACTTGTGGTCCTGTGTAAACACGGTCAAAATTCTCCAAATCCCACCCCTGAGAGCTACTCCCAAAATTCAAATAGACATCAGCTGTTTGCCCTGCCCAGGCTTGCAGTCTGTGGGGACTTTTTGCTGTCTAAATGGAAAAAAAGAGCCTCACACATCACACCAAGTCACACTGCGCGGCGTTGCACAACTCCCTTCCCCTCCTGCCCACCCCGTAGCAGGACACAGCCCTCTGCTCCTGCAGCCGGTGGCACCCGGATATCGGAATATCGTCTGGGCACCTTTACTGCATCAAGCACACTGAGGTTTCTGTGATGTGTTATAAATGAATCCTGTCCTCGTGGGGGTCTGTTCCAGGAAAAAAAAAAAAAAGAGAAAAAAAGCAATACTTACAGTTTGCTACACAATACAGAAATAATTTGATTGACTATCCTGTTTTGTACTTGCAGAATGGGAATGTATATACTATTGTTTATTTATAAAACTGTGTCACGACGCTAGAAATAATGACTTTAATGTTGCATTCAGCCGTGCCAGTGGCCTGGTAGGTTGATTTGGGTCTGGTCGTTAACCTTTATCTGAGTTTCTTCCTGTGTTCAATGAAACAATCCCCAAAAACATATTTGGCCATGATTTATGACTGAAATAGTTCTCCTCTCCCGGGATTATTGCATGAACATCTACAAAACCCTTTGGTGTAAAGTCACCAAGTTCCAGAGCACCAGCTCAAGGCAAAGGAGGTGACATGGAACTTTGTGCCCCCATGGGCTGTTGGACCTCCTGCAAACATAGAGGTCCCACCACGCCGTGGGTGGGAGGAAGGAAGGAAGGAGGATCTGTCAGACCACAAATGGACAAAGAATGGGAAGTGTTTTGGGAACGGTGCCATATGGTTGTGTTGTTGGCCTCAGGAAAACGACCCACTGAACAACAACTGAAAAAAAACATCATTTGGGGCCAAAGATGCCTTGTGCAGCCCAAAGCTGAAACTCTTTTGGCTTGCTTGATCCTTTGAAAACGAAAAAAAAAATCATGGGCACATTTTAAAATGGAGTATTTTGGAACGAAGAAAATTAGAAAAAAAAAAGAAACATTGCTTTGTTTTCCAAGTTTTGACCAACTCTTTCATTTGAAACTCTTGAAAATTTGCCTCAAATTGTTTTGCCAAAGCAAGAACTACAACATGCCCAGTTTAGACTGTATCTGCATCCATGATTCACACCACAAATGCAGCTGAAGTCACACGTTGCCAGTGGATGCTCAGGCAGGGTTGACGTGGCCCTGGTGACACTCTTGGCCTAGTGCCTGACTGCAGCTGCACCATGGGTACAACATGGGGCAAGCCTGAGGAATACCAGAGAGAGCCAAGAGAAGGGACAGCAGTTTCCGTGGGAATTCTATAAAAATTATCTTTGGCTTTTTCACTCTTGGCCGGAGCGTGGTGCGGAGTGAGCTTGGCACATTGGCCAGCAGCACATATTGCTGAGCAACCGCTGAGACAAGATGAGCTCAGAGGTACCAATAGATGGACCCATATCCATCTTCCCAGAGCTGCCATAGTAGAGAAGTGCAGAAGATGAACGGAATTTTCTTGTTGTTAAGTAAAACAAGCCCAAAATAGGGAAATCTCTGCCTGCAAACTGTAATTGTGTGAGGCAGCTCAGCCGTCAGCTCTTTCCTCAGCTGCCTCTGAAGAGGGCTGGTCACAGCTGTGATGAGATGTCCAGCCCGGATGGCTTGCTGTCCTCAGCTCTCCTTGCGTCGCTGCTCGGCAGCTCGTGGAGTGGGAAGTCAGCACGGTGGCATTGCCTTTTGCTGCACGGCTTCACGACGTCTCACTTGGGCATGAACGTCAAGTGACATTCCTTGACATTCCTGACTCTTTCATCTGACCACCCAAAATGCGGATGGAGAAGCTGCCGTTCGCTTGTGTAGCTGTTAACAGACATGGGACAGAGCAGAAAACCAGAGCCTTTTAAGCTCCTTGTGTCCTGCTTCCCAGCACTGGGGAGATGGATGTCCCAGCTCCCGGCAGAACCACGGCTGTTTCTCTCCCTCTCTAAGGTGCCTTCCTCCAATGTGTTTTTCTGTATCCCACTTTCTTTTGCTTTTCTTCTTTGCTTTTTTCCATGGAGTCCTTTCCGTTGGGAGCTGCTGCATGGCAGGGCCAGCAGAAAAGTGTCCCAGCATGCGGAGACCCTCCTCTCCTGAGGACTTCTCCAGGTGGCCAAGCCTGCTCTACACTGGGTTTCTGCACCTGCCCAGGGTGCTCCGTCCTCCAGGAGCAGAGGCAAAAGGGCTCCCAGCACAGCTGGCACCAACTGGCAAACAAGGAAAGACAAGGAACTTTCCCAAACTGAGTGTGAGTCGACATCAGCTCCCAGCAGGGGAGCAGCTCCAGGCTTTGAAACAGAGGCAACCAAGATGCCTCTGTATCAAGTGGATTAACTCCTTTATAGCTTGTTTTCAAGCTCAAAAATAATCAATAGAAGGAACATACTAACTTGTTTTTTGCTTATTTTTTCTGTAATTGCACATAACTTTAACGAGCGTGCTGGCAACACCAACAGCCAGACAGGCAGCCAAACCAGGGGAATCACTAACCTCAACTTCAAGAATTTGACCATGTGAAAATCCAGAGATTTCTTCAAAAGTCACAAAATCTTTAAGACTAACACACTCTGTGGTTGCTTTCATTTGATTCTGTGGTTTCCCAGTCTTCCACACACCCCAGAGTCACATTTTCAGACCTTTCCTTGCAGCCACAAAAGTAAAAGCATTTTTTTAATTACAGCTTTTATTGCTTGTTCCAGGAACTGGCATTGTCAGTCAATATTTGCAAGTCCACAGTAGGTTTGTCGGAGACAGCAGTGCTGGACCAACTCTATTTATGGAGGAATTCAAACTGTATTTAGTTCATCCCAATTCTGCTAATCTAACATTGTCATGTGTACAGTCAACTAAAGTCAAAGCTGAAAATTTTAGGAAGATAAAATCTCTCCCGATGTAAACTGGCCTTTTGTAAGGAAGAAAGCACATTATTCCAGAAGTGCTCAGTGTTACAAGGAAATGGTCTGAGTTAATCATGGAGCAGATCTGCAAATGTCAAGTCTTGGCCAGCAATAGCTGCAGTGGAGGCAAAAGCCCTTTCCTGTTGCACAAGGGAGCACACACAGGGGGAGAGGCTGGTGCTGCGGCCGGCACCATCAATGCTGGGAACTCGGATTTAAGACTTTGCTTCAGTGATGAGTAATCCCCTTGCATAATTCCCCTCTGGATGTTTTGGATCCAGCAACATGTTGTTTCTCCTCTAGTGGCAGATTTTGGAAGAGCTTTCATATTAATTCATGTCAAGTCTAGTTGCGCTTCAAATATGCCTCAGTAAAACAAAACAAAAACAACCCCAAAACAACAACAAAAAAGAAACTCATGTTTGGCACTTTAGACAAAAATTATAGGAACATTTTTGGAAGAATGAATCTTTCTTATTTTAAAACATATGTGTTCCCCTCTTTCTATCTGCTGTGGTATTAATTTTTTGCAAATTTCTTAGCAAGTGTATTGGAATGAACGGCTTTTCCAGCAAAAAGAGCAAATACTTCCAGAAAGTTAAGAATTTTCAAACATCATGTGAGTTGATTCCTCACACTAAATATCTGGTTATTCATGTATTATCCCTCCCATGAGGACACCGTGGTATTGCCCAAGACTGAGAAATCCAATAAAAACACTTCGAATCTCACATATCAAATCCTGCTGATGATCTGCTTACTATAAGCTACAGCCCAGGAACTGTTTGTTCAAGAGTTTGGTGTGACAACTAATTTCCAGGAAAGTTATTGTCTGCTCAGGAGGATTTTGGTGGGAAGGGTGGGGAGGAAAGAAGAAAAATCCGTCAAACGCACATTGCAGATGAGTCACCCCTTCCAACCTCCAGACTGCTAATGCGGCCACCTGCCTCTGTGAGTTTAGAAGAGGTAGTTTCTATCCACTGGAACATGGAAATTAGAGTGTGTGCTGTGTGCCAGCCTATGCCTGGTACAGGAGGAATTGCTGCCTCTGCAAAATCGCAGAAGAGCCGGGGTGCTCGTGCAGCGCCCGCGGCTCCTGTGGCCTGCACCCCCTTCCAAAGGCTTTTGGAGTTTTGACTTGGTGCTGATGCTCGTTTGTAAAAACTCTCCCTCCAGGAGACAGCTTCCCTCTCCATGCCCAGATGCAGTTTGTTTTGGTAAATGAAATAGTTTTGCAAACTGAAAAAAAAAAATCTGAATAATAAAATCTATCCTGTATCCATCAAAAGGTGTTATTTAGAAAATTAAAAAACATTTGCTTTGGACACAAACTTCAAAAGAGAATAAATCAGTCCTCCCCCCCTTTTTTTTTCTTTTCTTATTGCATCTCACCATCCTGAAACCTTACCCTCCAAAAAATACCAAAAGGCAGCAAGGGCTGGTCAGGTCTCAGGAGAGATCCAGCAGAAAGCAGCCTGGGCTTCCCGAGGCAGAAGAGGCTTGTCCAGAGCGACCGCTCGCTCGTTATTGCCAACACCAAGGGTCTTTAAATCACCAACTTTCAGCAAGATCAAATCACAACTCAGTGTTAGGAACAATCCTTTGTACTCGATACCCTTCGTTAAACAAACCCAGACCGAAACCCAGCGGCCCCCGGGCACGTTAATCTTTAACAGTACCAAGCAAATAGCTTGTCCCCTTCCCAGTGCTTGGGCACAAACAACTTGAACTCGGTGCACGGAGGGGTCAGGGCTGTTGTGCTCCCCAAGGCAACCAGAAGCCACACAAGTATATTATTATTAGCTCTTTTGGATTTTGGCCTCTCCACAGTCACTGCTGCTTGAATCGGCAGCCCGGGGTGCGAGCCAGTGGTGCAGAGGTTTTAGATCACAGTATAACATCGCTATGGACATGCGACAACTGGACACAAACATTGGACAAGTAATTCCGAGGGTCAAGCTCCGAGGTGAACTACACAACCTGTGGGGAAAGAGGTTCCTTTGGAGGGTGCCTTAAGGATTTAGGTGCTCTAAGTCACCCTCCCAGAAAGTCTGTGTAAAAACCTACTCCCTAAAGGCTACATGGTCCTTTCCTGATTTTGTCCAGGGTTGCTTCTAAGCACTGTGGTTCTGCAAAAAACACAAGCTGAAGATCACAGCTCATTCTACCATTTTTCAGAGCTACACAGAGGGCATTCAAAGCTGCTGTACTTGAAACAGAAGAAACCAGGGCTGGACTGATCAGTTGGTGCTTTTTAACAGCACTTAACCACAACCCGTATTGCAGGAGCATCTCTGGCCCTGTGCAGTTTAATGCCTTTCCCTGCAGCAGCTCCCCGTGCACGTGCAGCCCAGGCAGCGAGGGCAGCTCTACCCTGCCCATGCCAGGAGCCCTGGGACCCCGCGCGGGGCCTTCGGGGAGGGTCGGTGACCCGTTCTGGGGAAGTTTTGGCCATGGTGGTGATTTAGCTCGGGGTCTGCACGCTATTCCTCAACTTTACAGTCAGCACAAAAACCCAAACTATTTACAGGATGCTTAATGCTTCCTACTTCTCTTTTGGTAAAGTCACACTTTTTTTCCAAAAAGTTTATTCATAACAACTTTCCGCTGTGCTGTCCCTCCAGCCTTCTGACTAATACCTCTTTTTCCATAGTTAAAAATGAGGAATGGAAAAAAAGGTTTGAAAGGTCTACCTGATGTGTTAGTATAAATAGATAATGTTTTATTTTACTGGATCCAAGCCTAACAATCTGTTAAGGTAAGATAAATTTACAGCTAAAGTTACTAATATTACCAAACAAATAACTGAAGTCTATGAAAAATAGTGCATAAATAATGACTGGAAAGGAAGCAAATATCCTAAAAGAATAGTAGTTTGCTAGTCTCACTTTTTTCATGTGACTCATTCAATACTATAAAAGCTATTGGGTAGCTTTACCATGTTACTCAATAGGCTTTTTTTTAAAAAGAACCTTCATTCAGCATTCAAGCTGAATTACTATCTTTACAGTCATTTAAGTAACAAATCACTGAAATGATAAATCACTCAAAATATGCTTGTTATCAGCTGATAAGCCAGGCTTTCAAATGCAAACCAGGGTTTTATACCTGACCTTTACAACACTGCAGGAAATTTGCTCATATGGTTATAATACGATAACACAGCCACATCTCTGAGATGAACTCTGTAGTAACACACTGCTATTTGGCTGTAATGGTTTCTACAAGCAAATTTCCATGTAAAACCCCCTTCGGGACTGTTCTAAGAGGAAGGTTTATCTAAGAAATCAGGGTATTTTCACTACTTCTGGCAGCAGAAGGTGCAGGGTGCTCATGTGTGTTAGAGCTGGGCTCTGGAGAGGCTCATGCTGCTGTGAGGACAGTAAAGCTTATTGGAAAAGATCAACCTCCAGCTGTATCACTGGGATGAATCAGAGCCATGGGACTGACCAGTGAAAATGAGTGGCTTGAAAAGTGCAGGCTCTGCTAACTGACACACTGCTCTTGCTTAATACTGAAACTCACGAGCTGTGGGGTAGCTTTCCTTCTCCCTCTTAAAATAAATACAGATATCTATTCTTGGGTGCAGCATAGGAACCCGTGCTGCTGGTTTCCACATATTTATTGTACTTTCCCCCCAACGCAGACTAGTCCTCGAGGGGACCTTTTGGTGGTGGAAGCACTAATGCCATGGGAAGAGCATCATGGTGAACATGGTGAACACAGTGAAGCTGGTGCAGTTCCATTCCTGTACAACAGCTCTGCAAATAAAATGTATGAACAAGAAGAACAAATGAGGAATTGTGGTAAAATAAATAAACAAACAATGGCCAGACTAATACGGCAATGAAAAGGTTAATCCTTCAGGACAAGAGGAACCATTGCTCTTTATCTAACTCAACTTTTAATGTCAGCTTTTGGAAGAAAAAATTCAAGCACCTTAGTAAAGACAAGGAAGCACTGCCCCAGGCAAGGGTAGAAAGGGAGGCTGCAGGAGCTTGCCATGGCAATGGAACGGATAAGTTGTAATTAGTGCCAGCAAGAGATGACAAAGCACTGGGCTTTGGATGAGTGAGATCCTGGAATTTTGGAGACTGAGAGAAATAGGAAAGCCTTTGGGAAAAATGTTCAATGCTTCGATCCAAAGAAGTGGAAAAAATGAACTGGAAGACAGAATGCCACTTCCCATTAAAGTGACCAAAGAGAAGATATTCAACAGCAAACACACAAGCGTAGTGCACTAGGGAGGTAAGGGAGCTCACACCAAGGGTGGCACTAGCATATTGAGGACCGGGTGATTCAAGTCAAGAAGAGCATTGACCTGCATATGCATGAAAACATCTGTGCAAGATGCAGTGATTCCACAGCACATCTCCTCCCCGTGTGCCAATCTGGTGCACAACTTGCTCCCAGAATCATGAGCTGGGAGGAAAGTGTGAAGGGAAAAACTTTGCAGCTTTCTTGGCCCCGCACAGCTCAAAGACTGCAGTCTTTGAGCTTGGTGATGGCACAGAGAATATCAGATGGGGAGCTAAAAAGCTTTTAAAGACAAAGGAGGCAAAGGGGTCAAAAAATCAGCCACTGTCCTCATACTAATGGCATTTTGTCACTGTGCTAAATGGAAAGTACAGTCTGTCTTTGTAAGTGTGATTATCATAACATCACAGTGATAGGTCCTGCATGAAGGAGGAGGAAATGCTGGTATCCACTGTGATGTCTAACTGCAGCGAGAGGGGTTTTACTCCCTCTGCCTTGAAACTTCAGTTCTCCAGCACAGAAGCTGGGATTCCTGCCCTTTGAAAGACTACTTTGAAGAACAGTTGCTGAATAAGGTGAAGATGTCAGGTGTGTGCTGCAGAAGACTAGCTACAAGAATGTGTTCCCAAGAAGTGTAGTGCTCTCTCCTAATACATTGAATTTATTTTTCCATGGATGGATTCTCTGAGATCCACAGTATGTGTGTTTAGACACATAAATCTCTGGGCACAGAAAATCAGCAAGTCAATTGGGAGTCTTGACACTGAGCCAACTACATGGTTTTGTACTCCTCTCTCCAGTAATGGCACCAAGCACCTTTTTCATTTAACCCAGGGGAGCTCTGTGTACTTCAGAGACAAAGCGAAGGGAAAAGAAGGTGAAGAAAGAAATCTGTTTGTCATTATGGGGCAACAGGCGTCAGACAGATTCAACCATCTCACAGGATTCCTCTCCTCATCATTTCTACAAATTTATTTTTTCCCTTTTTCCACTATATGTGTAAAAAAAAGAACAGCAGAATGATGAAAGATGACATACAAACAAAGTGAAGGAGAAATTAAATGGACAGAGTATAATGAATGGGTTATTCAGAATTGCTTAGGAGAAAGATTTTTGTTTGTTTATTTAAATAAGATGGAGCATCTCAGCATGGCAGGGGACCATTTCTGTTCATGAGGTTCTACAGAGACATTACGTGGGGGGGACTGGATTTATAAGGGGGCAAGGCATTAATAACAGAAGAATTAAAGTAATGTGCACGAAATTAAAAGAAACAAAAGACTCCTGACTAGTACGATTTTAAAAATGTGGAGCTGTTCTAGAAAATTTAAAAAAGAAGCAGGAACTGATGGAAATGAAAGAACCAAGCTTTGAATTGAGTAAACGATGCTTACTTGATTACACCCATATGCAGTCACTGATGAGCTCTTGAGCAGAACTGATGAAAAATTGGATTGTTTACATCTATTAAACCAAGCAAATGGGAATCGGAGCTGAATGTGCCCAAAAGCCTTGAGAGTAAAAATGCTAGCAGCAGTTCTTACGTTTGATGTGTCAGTGGCACGCCAGCAAGGATTCTGCATCAAATCCTGGCCAGTGGAAAAATGTTGGCTACGGGAAACTGTAATATCACTTATCTACTGAGCAGGCCACCTGATGACTGACAACTTTAATTTTAGCGTGAAATTGGCTGAGTAGCTGTTGAAACATCCATCCCTTTCAACAGGGATAGCAGTCTGTGGGTATTTACCAAAAGTCAGATCTTCTGCCCTTCTCATGGTCTTTTCAAGCAGCCACAGGGAGCTTCAGCCCATGGCGTAGATATCCCCAGTGAGCAGGACAGTGGTTTACTCACGGAGCAGTCAGCACACGTTGTTCCCAGCTCGAGTGAAAGAAAGGACCTTGTTCCCATGGGAAATGCAAGTTCTGGGGCATTGTGTACCCTAAGTGCTCCTAGAGATAAGGGTGTTCATTTAATGTTCAGTAAGGAAGAAGAATGTGACTCAGAAAGGCAGGTTTTAACCAGAGCTCTTTTTTTGTGTGTCCTTCAAAGCTAAAAATAGGCCCTCTAAAAGAAAGAGATTGAATTTACTACTGGGTTGTATGTATGTGATTTTGCTTGAATATGATCTAGTAATGAGATCATGCTGCAAGTCACTGCATCACTATGTGGATCTACCTCTATCCTGCACAGAGAGGTATCCTCTTGTCTTAGAATAAATACTAGCAGAGAGAGAAAACAGTCAAGAGGACAACCATGACTATTATACATGTGCTGTATTGGTAATATTGTAATATATACTGTATTATACTACAATATGCATAATGCTACAGTATTAGTAATACAGTAATATTCTATTACTGTGTGGTGTGCCTTCCTTCCTGGACAGCAGAAATATCTTAGTTTGGACAAAGCTGGGCATTGCTGAGCTTTAAGATGCAGTCTCACAGATGTAAAGGCACGATATGGTTCTAAACCCTACTGCATTTGAATGTTTTAGATTACTTAGAAACTTCATTAGTACTTGCAATCATTTAATTATTCTGATTTTGATATTTGCCATCCACTTTGAGTTGAGGGAGTGTTTACAGCTAAACAACAATTAAAACACAAGCCAGAAAGTGAATCCCCAAATCTTTCCAAATGCACCTTGAATTCAGAGCTGCTCCTCCTGAGGAGGAACTTCTGTGAACTGCTTCCTACCAGATAAACCACAAATCTTTCCAAATGCACCTTGAATTCTGAGCTGCTCCTCCTGAGAAGGAGGAACTTCTGCGAACTGCTTCCTACCAGATAAACCCCGTTTATTTCCAGAGATTTTGCCAGAGCACCACTACCAAATTGCGCTTCCCTTCCAGCTCTGCATTTGATCATACTAGGGATGCCCCAGATTGGCCCAAGCACTTGCAAAATATTCAGATTCACAGTGAAGAAGACTCCGACAAAATACCCCTCCATTCCCTGCAAACATGCACCAGGGTGTGTCTGGGGAATCAACACAGCCCTTCCAAAGGGAAGGGGATGACATTAGAAGAAAGGCAAAAACAAAGGATTCGACAAAAAAATATATTGTTATGAATTTGTGACTATTAAGATCCTACTTGTCATCATGCTCCTGCTGTTATGACTGCCTGGTGCCCCAAAGCAGTTGTAAACCCTGCCCAAGGCAGCTCTGGAGTTGCTCTGCTGTGCCGGAGCAGACCACGGGATGCTAATGGTGTTTAACTTTCCTCAAAATGCCATCTAAACAGTCGCCTCCAGAAACAGTAAAGTACATCTGAAGCCTGAATGCTGCATTGGCTTTTGGACTGCAGCAGAAGGCTTCCATGGAATTGAAGGATTACTGCTAATTTTTATTCAAAAAAGAAAAATATATCTGATGAGAACAACATACATGTAGAGTATGCTGAACACTGCATCAGCCCAGCGTCTATTAGCACATAATTAATTAAAATGGCTTGGCACTTAGGCTTTTTGCTCCTGGCACTACTAGAGCTAATGCTGGCCCACTTTCTGTTCTCGCTGCAATCCATGTCCGTAGGACGGACGTCTTTTAATTTCCTTCGGCCTTGGCAGGGCAGTGCGACTGCCCCGGTTGCACACCGAGCTCCGTGCATCCGCACACACCATTAAACACAACTCCAGAGGATTTACTAGTGCACCTGCATTCCCGGGAGCGGGTTCATTATCAAGGATTCCTGCCTAGCAGCTAAAGAAAGTGAAACAGGCTTTGGAGAACAGCATCATTGTTGCCAGGCGTGGAGCACAGAGCTAATTATTGCTGCCTGTGTCATTGTTGTCACCGTCAGAGGGGAAAAGCTGGCGCTTCTCCAGCTCCTGGTTCTTTAAGGTAATAATGAAGGATGTCTCAGCATGCAGCATGTTACAAGGAGTGTTAATGTGCTTGTTGAATATTGTATTGAGTTCCTGATTTGTGTCAGCAAGATCTGCTAATTCATAAGAAAAAAATAAGTGCCATCAGGAATTGTTTTACATACAGATAGACATGGATAAATGACCCTGGAGGAAGAGTGACAGTGGTGATGAGCACAGCTGCAGGTCTCCTCCGCCTTGGCAGGCTGCAAAGGGTCCGCAGCGAGATCTCCTTCTTGATAGCCCAGCCTTCTGCCTTCCCAGGAAAGGTGCTGCTTTAGCCCTGCTGCTCCTCCCTTTGCAAAGACCCTTCCGGACTCCATCCTCACCAGCCTGTGCTTCCCATGCCTGGTGCTGGGCACGGCAGGATGAGGTGCAAGACTGGGTGCAGGTGCAGCTGCGCTGCGGAGCTGGTGCCTCCATCCTGGAGCCTGGGAGGCTGCAACGTGTATTTCGATACCATGAAATCCCAGAATCCCTCATAAAATATTCATCAGCTTTTTAATGCCACGTCTTCTAATTTTAAAATTCAGCCCTAAATAATTTAGCAGACTTATGAAAAACCAAAAGGAAAATGAAACAAGTCTCCAACAAACAAAACCCCTGTTGAGGTTGGGCAAGGCTGCTAAATTCAACTTGTCAAAGATTCCCATCCTGTTACGAGTGCGAGATTTATAGCTCTAAGAAGGTTCTCTTCTTCATTGCATAAAAAAGGCTACCTCTACCCTATGAAAACATTCCTAAGTGGCTATTATAGACATTTATCAATATACAAGCAGACTGACTTAATTTCATCTTAAAGATGAATTTAAAGATGAAGATAAATTCATCATTAAAATGAATTTCTTAAAGAGGAAATTAAAATCTAAATTTCCATGGCCATGTATTTAGCTTGCAATAACCAAGCAAATTCTGCCTCTGTGCTTTGTTGTTGTTTAGGGCTGGCTTTTCATGGGTTACTCTTCCAAACGCAAACTTGATTTACCTCTTGCTGTAAAAATACAGTATGTCCCCTGAAATGGTAAATATGCCAGCTAACTTTCCAAATTTAATTAACTTTTCCCAAATGGCCTTACTTAAATAGAATTCAAAGTTCAAAAGACAAAAAATGAACAGTTAAATTTTAATAATGTACTCTAAAAAAACAGGGGAAAAAAGAGTTTTCATTATCCAGTACTGAAGTCATGGAAACTCCTATGCCTAGCAGCTGTTTTGCCTTTTATAACATAAATAATTTAAAAGTTAATTGTTGTGCATTATTTGGTTAAAAAAGATTATGACTCTAACATTTGCATTTATTTATCAGTAATGGTGAAATAGTTCTTCCTCTGCATAAATATATTTGGAAATTCAGTCACCCTGCTAACAAAATCACAGAGTAGCTCCTTTCTAATGCTAGTATTAACCACTGAGAAATTAAGCTTCTCCATTCTGGTGTACGATGAGAAATGTCTGCTCATTACCAAGCCATTTTGGTGATTTTTCTGAGTGCACTTGCAAACCATTTAAAAAACATATTTTGAGGATGATCTCTGAGAATAACAACCCCATTAAATTGTGCTCAAGCTGAGTGAAATTTCTGGGTTGTATCTTCAAAGAGCAGGAGACGTTTCCTGTGCCCTTCATTTATCTGAATAAGTTAAATGTCCCTGGAACAGGCTGGATTCAGGACAAGGCATTTCGTTGCACAGACACTTGTAACACTGTGAAGGACTTCTCAAGCTCCAAAGACATGAGCCTCTCAAGACAGTCCATAGGAACAGTTTTAGTGATTTTGGACCGTGATCCTCAACATAGAATAGCCCGGAGCTACTGGGAAGAGACTGTGCCCAGGGAGGTCAAGGTGCTACTCTGCCTTTATGTTAAGGCCACATAGAGGACATGAGCTTTAAAAAATCCCCATTATTTTACTTTTTGAAGCCCTCTGCAAATTCTTCTACCCAACCAAGTGCAGTGATCAGCTGGTGGGGCAGACTTGCCCCAGGGGACACCTCTCATCCTCTCAGCTTTTACAGTTGCGGCTGAAAATCACACCGACTGTTACTTGTGTGATATTTGGATGTATTCACCTCTGAAGAGTGAAGGACTGATTTAGCTTCCCAAAAACACAAGTTTGTGATCCTGCAAGTCTGAGGAGTTCACACCCAATGGTTAGATCACTGTCATTGTAAAAAATTGGAACGGAAAAAGAATCATTCAGGATTAGAAAGCAAAATGTGGACTCTGCAGGGATTAAGTGGCACAGAAAATTCATCTGCTGTTTTAAATCCAGCAATCTTGTAACATAAAGCTCCCTTGAGAGTCTGATCAGAGCACATCACTTTCAAATGCTGATATAAAAAAAGGAGCAAAAAGGACTGTTACTTTTTTTTTTTTTTTAAACTAAATTGTACAAGGAAACCCAGGGAAGGTAGAAGGCGGATGTTTCAAAGAAAGTCCTTTTGGTGCTCAAATCCTATGGGCTATTCAAAGGCCTATACCCTTTTGAACATCCCTCTGAAGCAGAAAAGAAAGCACCGAAGGCCATGATGCTGTTGTATAGATACGTAAATTTACAAAAATTCATAGCTCTGAAAAGTTCAGGAGTTCAAAAGGATGACCATGTGTGTGACACACTCGATAAGATCCGTGACTGCTTGCACACAGTGCATATTTTCCACCGGTTCCCAATGTACGGATCTGTATGTTTTGCAGAAGTCCAGCGAGTTCAGCTCTGACAGCAATTAGTCTCACCACCTCACTGTGTAGGAAGAGAAGCTAAGTCACCCTGAGCACAAAACAAAAGGCTGGGATTTCCAAGGTTCCTGACGCCCCTTCAGGCACCTCTACACGTCTGCAAAATGTGCATTAATCAGACTCCAAGGAGAACTGAAGTCACTGCAGAAAAATGACTCTCCCATCAGGTTAAGGGTCTGCTAGGAACATATTTGTTGCTGTGTTTTGAGGGTAGGTATGCTGCCTGTTGTCTGAAATTAAGCAATCTGGGCAAATTCTGCATATTACTTAGCTAGAATGAAGCACACAGGTTGATAAGATGCATCTGCAATAAAAGTTAGGAATTCTCTAGAATAATGAATATACATAATAAAACCTGAATCTCTGCTAGGGAAAAGAATAACCAATGACCTGCTGAATCTCCCAGGTTGGATATATGTGAAAAGTGAAATCTGGCTATATGTAGACTGATGAATTGAGATTAATAGCAGGGAATGTGTGTCAGGCTGTAAACTCCATTTTGGATGAGATCTCTCCCGCTGTCTTTTCCCTTCTCATTGCAATAATACCTGCAGAGGTGTCAGGAGACAATCTTGCCCCCGGCACAGAGCTAACAAGGGTCATTAAACTCTGATGAATATCCATTTAAATAGATCTTTTTTAGTCAAAAAAAGTTGGCTCCTGTCCAAGGCAACCATTCCTGGATGCTCGGCTTGCTGCATGGGCCAGAGGAAGCTGGGCTGACAGGATGAGACAAGATAAAAACAGACAGGAGACAAAACCAAAGAGAGGACCCATGTCCAAGAAATGTCCCGGGGGAGGTAAGGGCAGTCCCATGGTTATCCAGACCCTTGGAGACAGGATAGTCCCCAGGAGCAGCATAGTGGGACCGAATCGCAAGAGCCCGGTATTTCTCTCAAAGGAAATGCTGCTCAAGAGCACTCCCATGGCATGAATTTATTTTTATAAAGCTAAGCTATATATATATATATATGTATATATATGCATATGTGCATACATATACATCTGCACAAAACTGAACCTGTTGTATCAGAGACCAAGAAAGTGCCATCTACCCATAGGCCTTGACCCCAGAGTAGTGCAGAAGCAGGGGCAGTGCCATTCCCCTGCGCAGAGGAGGTGCTGCCGAGCACCTAGAGGGGTCTAACATCAGAGACCCTGAACATCAGCACTCACACAGTCCCTAGCTAGTGCAGCAAAGCAGCCCTGTTAGGACATTTCAGCTGAGGAAACAGGGAAATACTAAATAAAATCCCTGTTAAGGCAGTTGGCATCCCCCTGCACATTTAGTGTCTATAAAAGTACTTGCATGTGTTTAGCAAAGCATTTAATTAAGTGGAGTCGGGTGGTAATATTTGTTCAGCTAATGCCTATTTATTGGCAATGGCTTTCACTTGTGCAGTGCTCCCATCTCTTGTTCTAAAATGCCTGTGATTTTTATCCTCACACTTTACACTTGGGAAAGATCCACAGCCACACGAAAAAAACCTGGTATCCAAAACCTAGGGAACAATTACCGGCCTTTGAGATACCCAGCACTATTTTACAGGTTATGAGGAATGCAGACTCCCCAGGAATTAGAGCTGGTCTGTAATCTGGTGTATTTCAGCTGATATTTAAATGCCATATTTTCACTTCTGCAGATATACAGTCTCGCCTGGTCATTCACAGAGGAACACTTCACTGTTCAGTATCTGCCAACACAAATTACAATTTCAAGCAGAGTATTATCCTATTATTGCTATGGAGAGAGCAAGGCAGTGAAAAGAGCCTTGAAATCCCAAAAGGTGATTTGGAGGCAAATTTGAAGGGAGACAATGCGTCAAGGCTATCCATTATTTATGCTCAGCTACACTGACCTTTGAGAAATAATCATAAGTCACACTCAGAGAGCACAAAAGACCCGGCCCAAACCTTGCTGAAAAAGCACTGAGATTCAGGGAGACCTAGATCAAGCTCAACATTAAATTAATTTTTGTGCTGTTACAGTCTTTATCCTTGACTGTCTTTCATGTTGCATCATATGGCCATCAAAAGGTGTTGCGTTTTCATCGGGGGATATAGGTGAGCTGTACAGAAACTGTTAAAACCGAATCTCCATAATGATGAGAAAGAGCCTTGTCAAAGGCTGCAGAAACATCATGGTCTAGACCCACTATACAGAATGGCTTCAGCATGTGCTTACCCCTGGTTGCTTCAAAGGGGATGCAGATTTAGATGGTTTCTTGATTTTTCTTCCCGTTTTATTTCTTGTCTAGTACTAATGGATAATATTTATTTTATGCCAGTTTTGAGTTCATGGACTAGAAGGATAACTCAGTTGATTAAGGGGGGGGAAAAAAATTAAAAGAAAAAAGCCAAATATGTTGTTTCATTATCGGATGCAGGTAGGGTTTGGCTGGAGTCTGGAGAACAAGGGGAGAGGATTAGTGTTGCTCCCCAGAGAGGTCCTAATTTTGGAGACACTTTCCTTTTGCAGAGTTTGCTGTGCAAATGACACACTCCTTGGAGAAGATTTAGGCTACAAGAGGATCTTGTTATGCCCTAACTTTATAAACAGGAGCTTCCAAAATCAACAGAGCCTCATTTTATATGGAAAAAAAAAAGCAGAACCACCATGAAGGACCTCACTGTCCCTTACAGCCTCATGAAGTGAGAGTTGGCAAGAGTTTGCATCCATCAGGTCATTTGCTCCGGTCAAAGCTTTTGACTCCATAAAGATCAAAGATCCACATGCCTGGTGATGGCAAATACAAACTGAGAATTGTGGAAATACGAGAAAGCCTTTCGCACAAATCGAGACTCCTCCTCTGTCAAACTCTGGAACACACAGATAATCCTTAGTGTTTTAGATTTTTGTGACTAAGGGTTGGAAGTGAGAAGAGAAAGCCTAACATGTCCAAAAAACTACATTTACTTATAACTTTGCTTCATTTTAGAACCCACTTAATTTCTACCAAAGTCCCTTGGCTTAGAAGCACTGCGTATTTTGCATAGTACACAAATGCTCACAGAAAAATATACCAAATATGAGGTAGCCAAGATTTTTTAAAGTGACTAATGGTTTTTGAATGTTTGAATATAAATATCTTTAAAGGGGAACATAATTTTTACAACCCTTGAATGAACCTTTTTCAGGTCTTAAAGTAGATACTACACCACAGTGAAGAGGTACCCTTAAAAACCTGTGCCAACTTCTCATTTTACATTTGAAATGAAAGAGCTTCTTTCTCCTCCGTGAGGACTGTCAGGCTACTGTCCTACAATACGTAGGTCCCTATGAGATTTTGCCAAACACCCTTACAAGGGAATGGAATTTTCTTAACGTTATGTCTCAATTGTATTAACCAGCCATGACATTTTAAAGCTTTTTTTTTTTTAACCATTTTTCTTTTTCTTTTTTTCCTTTAAAGGATATTTTTTAAAAAAATATAGCTATGAAAAAGTGTACTGGAATGAGCTGCTCATCCTCCTATCCTGTGTGCACGTCATTTGGGTAAAGTCTCTACTCTCTTCTCCAGACTTCACCCTCTGTTTTCCACTTTGTAGGTTTTCATGCCGGTTCATGTTGTCCTGTCCTTTCCTTTTTTTTTTTCTAGTTGTGTCTTTTTGCTTTCTTCTTCTGTCACCAGTTATTCTCCCTATCTCTGTTTCTTGCTCCCATGTATCCTTTATTGTTGGTCCTATGGTTTTGCCACGTCTCTCATGTCTTCCTCTTCCCCCCCCATCTTTGCTGCCACTGTGGCCATGAACACCGTCTTTGTCACCATCTTATCTGCTACACTGGTAGTTTTGGGCTTTAAATTAGTGAGTGGAATATGATATATGCTCACTTCTTTATGACGACTCTGGGAACCAAGACTGTTACCTGGAATAGCTGAGTCTCCTCCAAAGCCTGCATGTGAATTTGTCTTGGGTTGATGTTTTCTTTTTGTCATTTTTTTTGGTTTTGTTTTTTAACTAAAGCAAAAAAGACTGACATGAAGCTAGTGACATCAGTTCTGCATCTTGGCTCAGTAACTGCTGTGCCAGGGGCTGGGACAGTGACACCAGTGGGAGATATGAGGGCAATCTGAGGGCATTAAATGGCCCGGGGAATTTTTTTTTTGGCGGGGCCAGCAGGGATCTCTGCTGCACTTACCCCTGCTTGTCTGAATGCTCTTGGAAGGAAAACTGAAACCAGTCCAAAACACAAGCCTGATATTTACTTTTCTGAAAATGTTTCAGCTCTTAGTTCCATCTGCACAAATCGGGACCCATGATTGGAAAATACATGAAACCTTATTAAAAAGTTCTAAGCTGTATTATATGCTAATCAGGGTTTCATTGTCTTTCATCTCATAAAGGCTAATAGCATTACAGATGACAACCTTCCTATCAAAAATAGTTTCTAATGCAAATTGCCTTTGACTATATTTACAATGTCACTTTTAATCAAGTAAATTGCCAGGCTATTTCGCTTCTGCAATCTATGCTGCACACAAAAAATGTAATGAAGAGGGAAGTGGGTACAAGTGCTTTCAGCTCTAACTGGCTGCCCATTTCATACCAATTATTACCTATTTAGTAAGCTTACATTTCTGTCCTTAGAAAAAAGCTAGATATAAATGTACCACTTTCTCTGAAGGAGGCACTGTGCACAAAAAGCCTATTCCACTTACCAAGAACATTTGTCTTCACAATTGCACTTACTTTTCTCACTCCTATGCAATTAGTAAATACAAGCTAAAAATAGCCATTTGCATGCACATATGGTCCCTGACTGCTGTTCCATTATGGCACGTCTAGGTGAGCATTGTGCTGCATTTGTTTGTGATTTAAAGGCTTTATTCGGACGGGTTTCTGTCCCCGCAGGTGCGTTCAGCACATGCATCCCCGCGGAGGGCCCTGGCACCGCTGGCTGTGCAGTGCCCTGCACGCAGCCCTCCCACAGCATCCTCCGGGTCCAGCCACATGCCAGCATCCCCCCTGGGCACACTGGAACGGAGGCTTTCAAATGCACACACAGGTATTTGCACCGCTTGGCTTGTTGTTTTTTAAAGCAGCAAGTATTTAAAAGCAAATCATTGCCCCGACTCCTGCACGGAAACCACCTTCAGCCCTGCAAGTGCAGAGGGACTTGCTGCATCGTCCCTGACACTGGCTCGTGCAAGAATATGGCTGGATAAAGTGAATTTACTAACCGTATTCTGTCTCCAGAACTAATAGACTTTCTTCCCTATGGCCACCTGCCTCTCTTCACAAAAGGTGCAGGAACTGGTGCATAATAACTGGTGCTAAAGGTGCATAATTTCTTTGTCAAACGCAGCTGAAATTGGCCCGCAGGTTTAAATGCGTTAGCTAACAACCAGCCAATGGACAGGCACATAGGCAATGTGGATGCAAAACCCTTAGAAGTTTTTCTAAAATGGTGGTAAGAACACTAAAAGGATGCAAGTCATAAAAACATTATTTCCTTTGCCCACACTTATTTTTTTGTTCCCCAAAGACAGGTCCTCCCCCTCAAACGCAACTATTTCACAGTGAGAAAAGGAGCATGGTGCCAAAGGAGAGAGCAAGGACAAGCACCTAACCCAAAGGAGCTCAGTGCCAAATTTCCATTAATTTAAAGTGGAGTGAGAATCTCACTCCCGGCTTTTGAGTCTCAGGTCTGATTTTCAGGGATGTCTATTAAAACCATAACCCTTTTAACTTCTGAAAGTTTTACTGAAGCAGCTAGTCCTGAGAATGGGGTTTCACTCCGGAATCCAAAAATGAAACTTTGCTTTTTCTGTGCAGTGCCCTGCATGCAGCCCTCCCGCAGCATCCTCCGGGTCCAGCCACGTGCCAGCATCCTCCCAGGCACACAGGAACGGAGGCTTTCAAATGCACATGCATCTGCCTTTTCAGTTTGGTCTTCCTTTTCTTCACTCTCAATGCTTCCTCAAAATGAAAGCCCCAAAAGCCTCATTTGGAAATGTGATGTTTTGACTTCATTCAGCTTTTTTTCCTGGCAGAAACTCTGGGCTGAATTCAGCACAAATCTTTGTATAATTCCTGCCCAACCAAAACTTGCATTTTGGGGGCAATAAGACCTGGATCTGAGTTGCTTGCCTATAGCTTTGAATGATGCCTTGCTTTGGGCAAGTTGAATGAAGCAGCTCAAAGCTGCAGGGAAACCAGTCTCAGCAAGGATTGAAGGTGGTGGCCAAAGGGCTGGTGACTGTCCTGCTCCTGCTGACGGCGCAGCCCGATCCCAGCTGCTCCTTCCCCATCCTGCCCCAACATCCGTGCTGCCTTGTGGGAAGAGCTCTCGGTCGCAAGGCCCGATTTGTTAAAAAATAATCTGATGCTGAGGGCAGAGCTCCTCAAGGATATGTTCTTGAGAAAATATTACTCATCAAAGCACATCCTGCCCTTCTGCTGAGGAGCGGAAACAGGGAATTTCTTTTGTACCCTTTGAAGCCAAACTTTTAAAGCTTGGCAGGCAAAGGTCACTTCACACGCAGGAACCGCTGTCCTCTGCCTGTCAGCTCTGGCCATAAATTCAGAGCTCTGAAATGAGGAAATAAAAGTTTTGATTATATGCACTAAATTTCTATGATTCTTTTCATCTTTCCTATCACCCTGCTCAGCTTCCTGAAATCTGCCTCGTAAAAAGAGCCCTCACAAGGCCTGTTATCTGCAAAACGTTCTGGTTTGGCCCATGCCTTGCCCATGGCAGGCCCTGCCGTGACACCACGGACCCCGTCGTGGTCAAGGCGGCTGTTTCACCCCCTGTCTTTACTGCTCCTCTCCTTCCAAAAATCCCATCAAAACAAAGCAAGAGAGACTCGTGCATGGGGCACTGAGGGAGGAAGGACTCTCCATTCCCATCCTGCCACCACGTCAGGGCAGCTATTATTCTCCTAAGAGCCATATAATATATGTAATAAACACCAAAAGGAACCTTCCTCTGAATTACAGATGTGAAAGCACATATGAAGTAAAGGAATAACTTTTTTTAAAAAAACTGCAGTCTTCTTAAAAAATTCTGCTGAGTATTCATCACCAAGCTCTCAGAAAACTGGACTTTGATTCTTTTTGGAGAATAATTTGCAACTTATATTAGCAAACAAAAACATTGGAAAAACTGTATTACAAATAAAAGTACTTAGAATATTAAAAAGTATCTTGCACATAAAAATATATACATGTACGGTATACACACCCTACTGCTCACTGTACACCCAAGACTCATTGGAACTACATAAACGTAGACATAGGCAGGCTTTTTTCATGCAGGTCATTTGTGTTACTTAGGTTCCTTTGTATAGAATGATTATTTTCTTATTGAGAAAAATATTCAGTAGGGCAAATTCAGTTTGAAAATACTGCAAAAAGACAAATACTGCATTAGTTTAAGAGTGGATAGCATCTTTTGTTCTAAATCCAAAAAAATCCAAAATTAAGAATGCCAAAGAGGAAAGGACAAAAGATTTAAATTAATATATCTAATACTCTATTTCTTTGGGAGAAAAACTCTAATTTTTTGAAATGCCAAAAGAGTAACAACTTTTTTTTTTCTTTCTGAATGTAATTCACATTCTTTTTATAAATTAGAAGGATTTTAATTTCCTTTTTCATTAGTTTGAATTATAAACACTGGCATAAGCTTCTAGGGTTTTCTTTTTAAACAGAAAGGCACAAAATTACATGCAATTTAAAGAGTTGGTCAATTCATGGAAGCAAAATCAATGGTGCTGCTAATGGTCAGCAGTGTTGGAACTACCGGGTGCCCCTTTTACCACTGGGATAACCGCAGCCTGCAAAGCTTCAGCATTTCTGAGACTGGAAAACAAGTAATCTTGTCTCTTTCCAGATAACGTGGCTGCTCTTACACCTTTATTGAGTTCTGCACGTATAAACTCATGCCAATGCTCAAACCCCCCAAACTGGACAATTTCCAGTCTGCTGCTATAGTTTCTGCATTGCTATTGAGCTAAGAGACCAGCTGCTTGTGCAGCAGGAAAGTTGCTCCCTCCTGACAAGATTAAATTAGACCTCTTCACCTCCAAGTGTTTCTAAGCATGGAAACTGGACTCTGAATCACTACACTGTAGAGCTTTTGTTTGCCAGATTATAACTGCTGGCTATAATACTGGATCTGACCTGTATCATGTCAAGACTCTCATTATTTTAGTGTTACATCACAAAAAAAACAACCGAACAAAAAAACTACTAGGAATAACCATGGAAACGTACTGGCTTCTTCAGGGGTAAAGCCACTAGCTTCCTCATAAGCTAGGTTTTTGCCTTGTGGATCCATTCAGTAAACAAGAGGTCATGATGAACTAAGGATTTCCCTATGATGGTCTGCTGAAGAGGAGAGGGAGGACAGGGAGGAGAGCCAGGAGAGGACACTGTGGGGGTATGATCAGCCTCTTGAAGAGCTAAGGGTCTGAAAAAGAGCAGAGGAAGACGACGAAGCCTCTACAGATCTGCACTGCAGATCTGCAGATCTTCAGATATGCAGGTCATGCATGTGCGTGGAAGAGGGCTTCCACACAGCTGCTGGACTCTCACCAGCCACGTTTGTGTTCTGATGTGTCCAGGGCTGCAGCTCCTCTAGACACCACATGTGTATACACAGGGCTAGGGAAGAAACTGCCTTCTTAGCCCTGAAACACTGCGTGTTCCGACCTTCTCGCAAGCAAACGTATGAACTCCAGTTTTGCAAGTCTTCTCCTGTCCCTCTACTTACTGTCAGAAAGGTGACCTCTGAGGACAGAGCACACCAAACATCAGGGAAGATTTTTTGGGGAAAAACATAAATAAAAAGAGCATGCTATCATAACCACGCTCATACCCTGCTTGAGCTTTTAATTTACAAAAACCCAACTAAAGAAGACTCCGTGTGTTGCATATAAGTAAGCTGCAATATCTAACAAAACCTACTTAGTACCATTTTCTTCATGCTTCATTAATAAAGAACAAAATGTCTCTTGACTTTCTGCAACATATGCACTGAGTGATTGCGAACCAGACTGAGATTCTTTCTGAATGAGGGTTATAATATACCCAAGCAATAACAATGCATTTCTTTATTGCTTTGCTTGTAAAGCTGTTTCCATGTTCTACTAGGACAAAGTTATTTGTCATTTTTGTAAAGTATTACTTGTTACTTTGATGGGTTTTAGGACCTTTCCATTTTAGCTATCGATTCAAGGTTGAGTGTAGCCTAAAGCAGAGTTGAGCTTGGGGAATCAGCCTGTAAGAGGAGGTTTTTATTTTTCTGTAGAAATTAAGCTTTTTTTCCACATAAATTGGAGACACAGGAAAATAAAGTTTTGCTTTATCTTCTAAATGAACTAACATGCATAAGGCTCTGTGTCAAGGCATCACAGAGCAAAAGGTGCTCTATCTCTTCTATCTTTTCCACATTTCCTTACCTTGCTCAGATTACAAATAAACTGGTTTTCTTGATGGATAGGCCTGAAATAAAGCAGCAGCCAGAAATGAATGCAACATTTTTCTACTAAAGATTGTTTTGCATCATCCAAACCTATATATTTCCTGATATGTCTTTGG